AATATCGTCATCTGTAAGTGAGCTCTCTCTTCTGTTCTCGAACGGCAATCTAGATCTCGTTCGCCCGATTATGTCGCGATCGAAAAATTAATATCGTGTCTCGCTAACGCGCGCGGGAGAACCACGGCGGTTCATCGGGGATAATAATATCGAAAATTCCGGGCAGCTTTCCTCCAGGACGCCAAAGCAACGCGCCTGCCGCTCAAGTCATTGTATCCCATTGTGTTATCGGCGGTATCGTAGCACCGTCCGACCGCGCCTCTGTAACTTTCGTAAGAGACATCACGAGCGGTCGGAGACCGCGTAATAGCGAAAAATAGAATCTCGTACCGGAATCCGGTGATATCGAAGGCGCGGGCCGCGACGATAGTTGACCGCCGAATTGTTTTTCTTTCCGTCGTTAAACTATCAATACCTGTTGTAACGCGGTCTCGTCAGAGGCCGGCGAGAGAACGGAAATAAATTGTTATTCGATCTGTTAACTTTTCTGAACGTTTATTTTACGTGTCTGTGTCGTCCGACGAGGATTCCTGTCGCGAGGGAAGTCTATCGTTCCGATATTTGCGAGCCCTGGAAACCCTCGTCTTGTGAACATCCGGTGGAGGTTGCTTTCTTCTCGGTCACTCGGTGGAGTTCAACCCCTTTGCAGGGGCAGGTTTCAGTCCGATACTCGGGGAGTATCGGTCGGTACGTGAAATCGTACCTGGCGCCCGGAAAACGGTCGGAGGGGCTCGCGGGGACGCGAACGTAGGCGGGGACCGGGGGGAAAGTACTTTGTCGTGCCGTGTGCCGGCCGCGCGACCGGCCGAAATTTCGGGCAACGTAACAAATCATTACAACTTAAATGAGTTCTTACATAAAATCAATCTTGTTAGCAGTCCACTGTGCCATTGCGGTCTTTCCGCGTAAAATTTAAACCATGTGATATGGCAGTGCCCCCTATTAGAGCGTCATCGAACGACATTAATTAGAAACCTCAAACGATGTGGATGGCAACTACCTTTATCTCTTGATATATTTCTGGTCAAACCTCGCGTGAAAGAATTACAATTAATTCAAAAATTTCTTCTTATTTATAACATTAACATATAAGTTTACTGTACATATTTGATTATTCCTGTAATATTTAGATCCATGGGCTTGAGTAAAGCCTAGGGTCTTCAATAAATACATACATACACACGCAACAGTATATATTAGCGAGTAAGTGTAAATAAACTTTAGCATAGTTATAGTGTGTATTAATTCATTTCTCCACGTCACCACCTCACATGCATTTGTGGTCAATGTTACCACAGTATTTTGTTTAAATTATTGTCAATTTTGGCAAATATTTTATTAAATGATTATGTGAAAACTGTGAATAATAGTCAGTTGGAAATGCATGCAGACGTCATTTCTGAAAATCAAAAATTAAAAACTTTTAATAGGAATTAGATGTTTTTTAAATTTGACTTTTCTCGAAACATCAATTTTGATATACATATATATATTTAACTTACTCTTTTCAGTATGTTTTAATACATTAACAGAGTTTTATTTGTTTGCTTAGTATATTTTTATTATTATTACTATTTCCCAAGGTTTAAGGTTTTATTAGTAGTATTTCAAGAGAATGTCAAAGTATGGTTCATTTTGTTTTGTTGTTAATGTTATTCAAGATTACTGATTATTATTTAAAAATGTAATACTTTATTTTTCTATTTATATGAGAAACTTATGTTTTTTCCAGAAAATAATATCTATGATGTTTTCTTTTCATGAATTAACCAAAGTTCTATTCCTGTTCTTTCATTTTTATTGTTATTTCAGATTATTATATTAATTGCTATCTTTTGTAGCATTTAATAATTTTTTAGGCTGAACTTTACTTCCCCAGACCAAAAATTATCGACTTTTTTTTACATCTTCAGGTAGTATTCAACGAGTAGAATCTAAAAATGCAAATGTTAAGTTTAGGAATCCAGCGGTTCAAAAGTTATGCGTATGTAAAACCAAGCATTTTTGGCGTACTTTACAGGTTAGTTTAACGCCATATTGACTTCTATACCAAATTCATCCAATCAATGGTGTCACTGCTTGTAAGGAGATGCGCGTGACGGCGGCCATTTTGGCGGGATAATTCAAATGTGCTTGTAAAATGGAATCACTTATTCAAAGCGAAATACTGATTCTGAGTAGGTTTGATCTAATTTAGGTGGCGGAGAGGGGGATTGGCGGTGGCCCCTCCCCCAAAACAACAGACGACTTTCTACGATTATTTATTAACTAACTCTAACCAACTCAGAATCAGTATTTCGATTTGAACAAGTGATTCCTTTTTGCAAGCACATTTGAATTATCCCGCCAAAATGGCGGCCATCACGTGCATCTCCTTACAACCAGTGACACCACTGACTGGACGAATTTGGTATAGAAGTCAATATGGCGTTAATCTAACCTGTAAAGTACGCTAAAAATGCTTGGTTTTACATACGCATAACTTTTGAACCGCTGGATTCCTAAACTTAACACTTGTATTTTCAGATTCTACTTGTTGAATACTACAAGAAGATATAAAAAAAAAGTCGGTAATTTTTGGTCCGGGGAAGTAAAGTTTAACCCTTTTTTATTTTAAAGTTTATTTGTTTTTCGTTTAATTTTTTTTAACACTTTCTTTTATTGAGAATACAAATATTATGTTTCTGTTATGTTCTATTTTAAAATATTAATTTTATTTTATAAAATGGGATGATATAGCTATTGGCGAACCACCCATTATAATAAAAAAAAGGTAATGCTCCATGGTAATACCCCTAGGGTGGTGAGGAAATTTACCACAAGTATAATACTCTTCTCTAACACGAGTTCATAATTAACTGCATAATTGTTCCTTTCAATAGCGACTTATCCTAACCTATTTTCCACATGTGACTTAACCTATTCGGTACCGTACAAATAATTTTGTCTATTTCAGGTTTCTATTAACTTATACATACCTTCGTGAAATTTTAAATGCTTCAATTTGGTTCAAAGATGGTTTTATCATGCTTCACACTTATATTTTCTTGAAACCACTGTAAGTATTTTAAATATAATGCATCACAACACCAAATTATTCAGTGTCCACAAAATACATACCACATTTATAAATATTAGTATACATCTATATTACTTCTACTTAGTATAGTTATAATATTTATGTATTTCTTATACATAATTAATCAAACATACTGTGTATTAGTATGGTTTAATGTAAAAAATAACGTTAATTATAACACTAAGCACAAAACTCTATTATTGAAAGTAGGACTCCCGAATCCGCCATGAGCGGTGTTGCGGCAACACTGTTGCCACGTTGTTCAGCACGGCTAGACCAGCTAGTACTAGAGTCGGTTATGCCAGAATACGTCTTAAAGGCGCCTTTGTTACCAATCAGAACATTTAGTCGTTCAGTCCTAAAATGGCTATAAAATGGGCGCCTTTAAGGTGTCATGTGCTATCTGAGATTTTACATACCTAGCAATCATTCTTTTAGAATTTCTTATTTTTTCTACTGATTTTTAAAAACACAAATAGTAATGTAATTGATCGTAAAATTATATTGAATACGTTTTTCTGTTTAAAGATCAAGAACTTACGATCGCAGTGAGCAAATACACTCGAGATACAAAAATCGCAGTCCCGGTCGAAGTTAAACCACGAACGTGATCGTGATTCAGCGATCACTGTGATAAATCCAGATAAATCACTGTTAGTGATTTTGCACGACATGTCTAATGAGCACTCTCATTTCCTCTCTGCCTATTCTTTCAGCATAGTTTTTATTTTTCGATCTAATTTTGCGCTTTGTTGTTGTTAAATTATTTATAGGTGTCCCTAAATCGCGCATTAATATTTTAATTACATCTACGTCCAATCTGTTGTCCAGAGCAATTAGCAAAGCTGTATTCATTTTTTTATATTTTATTATTATTTTATTAGAAGACAATATTATTCAGGCATGTTGTAACAACTGTTTAAATTTAGCGCCACAAACTGCTACAAATGTATCACACTACTCCAAATGTCGTTCAGGAAAATACATAAAAGGACTGATTAGTGATGGATTCGCAACGGTTGTCTCAACGGTTGAGTTTAAGTCCACTGAACGCAGCCAATATTACGAATGGATATCATTTTTCTTATTTTACGTTAGTACTATACATATATTGTGCGATGAGCATACATAATCGTGTAATAATATAATCATCGTTAAAAAGAAAACATATTTATTCTGTTATTGAGATACGTGTGCGATCTGCAAACAACTGGTGTTATCGATTCGTGTTGTCGTTGCCATGTTTTCAATTTTGTACGAATAACAAATAGTATAGTACTGTACTAGTACCACGTGATTGTAGTTTACAAATGACCGTTATGCTTATGAGTTATTGCACTTTACATTACGAAAATATATGTATATGTGAATGATGTATGATATACGAATATATTTTTTGGTAAACTTTTCGTAACGTACGCTTCGTTTCGTATTGAACGCTTGAAAGTTCATTTTAGAAAATTCAGTTGTGAAACATGGTTTTCTAAATTAGGTTATAAATATAAAGAATTTTCAACGGTTCTTTCGTGAATTCATTGGTTTACATCATCATATGCATAGAAATTATTTCTATGCTATGGTTTGCATACGTCAGCTTTGAATTATATGAAACGTACGAATGTAAGTTTTATATTAATATTGTTATGCTATAAGTCAGTCTTGGCAGTTTTTCTGGGTTTATGCGTTGAAAATGTACAATTAAGCTAAATTATAGGTTGTTTTGTTGAGTACATTGATAGTTATATAAATTTTTATTCCGTACTTATAATATAAAATATTTTTTAACATTAAGTAGTATAGATTGAAAGTAACAAAAAATACACGATTTTTGTAGTTTTAAGTATGTTAAAAAATTGAATAATTTTGTTTACAGTTAAATGGTGCATTGTAAATATAAGCATGGATAAGTATAAAACAGTTACATATAAATCTGCTAATGTCACAAGTATAAAAATATGAAAAGTAGTTCTAAGAAGGAAGACACTTATGTAAAAAAGAAATATGTCTTTTTTTCTGATCCAGATGTTATTATTCAACGTGCTGAATCATCTGCAGCTGTAAGTAATTTATGTCACATTTTTATATTCCATTTAAAGTATTCTGATTCATTACTTTAATGGAAGATATAGAAGCATGTTATAATTGTGAATGTTTGAATTAAGAATAAAATAATGAATTTCAGGCAACTCAAGTTAAACAAGGTTTTGAGTTTCATCAACAGCAAACATCTAAAGAAAAACCATCTTCTTTTCCAACTCAATTTGACTTAAAGAGCTTGAAAAACTTATTGTACCATCCTGTACAACCTTATCCATTTACATTTATAAGTGCTGTAAAACGAAAACTTGCCTTAGAAGATCATCCTGAAATCTGTAAACAAGTACACAATTCAAATTATAAAAATACAGCTGTATCAGCTGTGACAGTTTTAAAATCTAAGAGTGCACAAAATTTACATGAAATCGTACAAAAAATGGACTTTATAAGGCCGTTAAAAGTTCCTGATTTGAAAATTTCTGCTAAGAAATTAGATTTTACTACCAGGGAAAATTCTGTAACAAAGGAACTAATGTCGTCACAATTTGAAGTACCTTCGAAGGAATTTACTCACGACAGAACAGATAAGCCAACAAAGAGTTTTGAACGTGTTCAAAGAAGATTGGATTTCTCAACATCAGATGTGTCTTCTATAATTGCTAGTGAAATAGAGCCACTAAAAGTGCCAAATATTTCCATATCTTCAACTCTGTCAAAGAAGAAGGAATATATCAGAGAAAATTGTAGAGAAAAGGAGAATAGATCCAAAAGAATTAGAAAAGATGACTGCTCGTTTATAAAGCAGGATGAAACAGGGCAAGAGTTTTTAAAGAGGTCCAGAAATCCGAGACATGTCTCCAGAAAAGACTGTTCTGATAATATAAGTGAAATTGTATCAGTTACAAAATTAAAAAATGACAGGTTACCATTACACATGCCAAGAGAAAGTGATTTTGTTTCAACGAAACCAAAAACAAAGAATTTTGCAACATCCACTGCTAAAAAGGATACTGATAAAAAGCACCGGTCGATTAATGTACGATCTTTAAAATCCAGAGATACTTCTTTAGAATCAAAAAATCGAACATTCAGTAATGAATCACTTTCTGAACGTTCTTCAAAATTACCGGACAAAATAACCATTAGAGAATCTAGAAATATGTTCGAAAATTGTGATTACAGATATAAAGAAGATTTGCATTCATTAAAACAAGCTGATGATCAAAAATATGTATTCTCAACAGAGAACAGACAAATAAAGCAACAGAAGGTAACATGTCAATCTCAAGGAAAAGCAGGAAATACACCTTTCAAGGAACAAATAAAGAGGGCACCTGAAAAAGTAAAACCTTCTACTAGTAAATTGGATGGCAAAATGTATACCATAAATTCCAGGGAGTTTGATGATGTAGAAAATATAACCGATTCCAATACAAGTACAAGAACTCAAAGTTTAAGTACTACTTCTATGCAAAAAATAAAAAGTAAAGATACTGAAAAAGTTGTACAGAATATTAAATCAAATAAAACTATCGAGGATCCAAAATATACAGACATTTCTTTACAACAGTGCACTAGTACAAATACCAGAAAAGAAGAAGAATCATTTACACAAAGCATTATTACTACAATCAAACAAACAAGTAATAGTAATGAATCTAATCTAAATGATAGTATCGTGTCAGATGTTTTACTAGATCCAAGAAGAATTTCTTTCAGGGATGAAAATCGTTCGCAACAAGAAGAATTTTGTGATTTGGTAACACCAAATATGAATCTTCTACCTAGATCTAGAAGAAAAAGGCAGTTTATACAGAATAGCAATGTAGACAATGATTCTAAGTGTATAAAACATAACACTACAGAAACAGAAACAGAACAAGAAAGCATGCCATTGGTAAGTGTACACGTATGAATGTTTCTTTCATTTATTTTGTGAATATAATATAATTACTTTTACAATTTTAGTTACATCCAACTGCCTTGCATATGCAGTTTCAAGCCGAGTTGCATCTTCTTGATTCTTTTAATGAATCATTGAGGCAGGTTATGGATGTTGAAAAGTGTTTATATACAGTTAAACAGGACCAAGGAAAAGAGGTAACATTGCAGCATAATGAACCAATTGAGCAATCGAAATTACATTTCTCTAAAGCAATAATTGAAAGAAATGTTGACGACATAGAACGCTACAATGATAATAGCAAATCTCGCAAACATGTTGCAACTGACAGAAGTATGTACTATATGTTGATTAATATGTACAGGAGTACTAGGAAAATGGTTAATATTGAAATATTGTTTCTAATTTCAGTACATCATACTACAAGTCAAATTATGACAAATGATTTTGACAACTCAAATAAAATAAATAAACCAGCAGTGAAAGCAGTAGAAGTTCAAACTCAAACAGTAAATGATATGGCCACACAAACAGAAATACGTTCAACTCGACGAAATGTACAGAGTAGATGTTCAGAAATATGTGGTATTCCATACGAGCGGGAATTTGTTAGAGAAAGCGAAGTTCCGCAACTTTCGTTAGATTCAGCAGAACTATTTGAAGACTTAGATCAAATAGAAGAAATATCATTACCTAGTAAATTAAGAACAATGTCAGAGATAAGTTTACATGAAACAACATCGTCTATACGAACAGAAACTGGAACAGAAATTAGTATTTCGACTCGAGATATAACTTGTTCTTTTAATAAATATTTAGATCTACAAGTAAGTATAACAATGTAATTAATATTTCTACAACATTGATATAAAGAATTATTCAGAAAATTTAGTATATTATGTGCTTGCAGATTGCACAGTTAATAAAAGATGAAAAGCAAAGATATGATAAAATCGAGATGCTGTTTAAATCTCGGGAAAAGACGTTAAATGATCGAACCAAAAAGTTAGTGAAACTGGAGGAGCAGAAGCGTGCTTTAAGAGATACTGGTCAGGATAGTCGTGTTAGTTCAGTAAAAAAGAAGCAGAGAGCTTTACTTTTAAAGTTGCAGCAAGAAAAAGATGAGATGAATAGGTATACAACTAATAAAAAAATCATTTTACAATAGTCTCCTGGTATAACTGTAAAAGTTTTTTTTTAGATTAAAAGAACTTCACAAAATTGCAAGTCAAGAACGAAAACGTATGTTGCAAAAGCAAAGAAATATGTTTAATCCTCAAATGTCTACAAAAAATATTTTAACAAAATTAAAAAGAAGGGCAGACAGTCAATCCCCAAGAAGATTATCTGGCCCAATGAAAGGTTATGATATAAGAAGTAACAGTTCTATGAGTTCATTAGTTGATTCCGATAAGTCTCAACATGACCGATCACAAAATGATGCACGCATACAAATGTCTGAAAACGAATTACAGTTTGCTAAACTTGACCTACCAAAGATTAATAAATTCACAAATTTTACTGAAGAATCTAGGGCATCGTTCATAAGATTTGATAAACCTAGTGAACTTATTCAAAGTAACATGTCTCAAGAAAAGTGTCCTTATAAACAATTAAAAGATGGGAACAAGTTGAAATACGAAATAAAATCAAAAAAGTTTGAAGAAAAGATGCCTAGGGCAGATATTTTAAGGTTGAAGTTACATCAGCACTCTATAGATCCCAAACTGATATCTGGTCATTCCATAAATACATCCGGGATGTATCATTTTGAAAAAGAAAAATCTCCCGATGTCTCAGAATTGTTACAAAAAAATTTAAATAACTCTGTTTCTGAGCATGCCAAGTCGGAATCTGATACGCTTGTAGAGGAGTTATCAAAAAAATCGAAATCCTCGCAGGTGACGGATAATCATTTCCAAAATATAGGATCTCCAAGAGAAAATGAAGCTTTGCCAAAAATTCCAACCATAAACAGCGAAGTTGTTCCAGAAGAGATAAGTTCTGTCAGCCACGATACAGTGTCAAAGACATCAAAATCATCTCAAATTTGTGAAGATATTTTACAATCACATTCCAAAAGTTCGAAAAGAAGTAGCAAATCAATTCCAACTGATGTATCTAAAAAGTCTTTGTGCAGTTCCGAATCTAAATCGAATGTAAAGCGTAGAAGCTCAAAATGTCAAAAGAGTAAATCGTCATCTAGTATACTCACGGAAAATATATTACGGTCTAACTCGAATTCCCAAGTATCAGAAGAGTTTACTAAACATTACAATAAACGAACAAAAATGGAGAAAGAATTTATTCAATCTGATAAAAATGATGAAAACATAATTTTGGGTAGTATGGATCACGATGAAAGTTTGAGTTCTCTGCAAGCTCTTATTAGACATTCCAAACCTTCAAAAGATAAGAATTTTAAAGTATTGACTGACAGAATAGATGATTATGACAGTAAAGAGAATATATTATGTCAGAAAATATTTGACAAAAGTGTAGAAGCCTATGGAAATTCTTTTCATAGTGAAGACAAGAGCAAAGACAACTTGGACAATACGTCTATAAGATCTCGACTTAGTAATTTTGCCGTTTCTCATCATGGTATTGGAGAGGGTGACAGAAATTATTCTAAGTCTGTGGTTATTAGATCGCAAGATCATAATTTGAAAACTTCAAAAAAACTGGAACAGTAAGTACATGAATAGTTTTCTATTAATTTTCATTGTATCATCACATTATTCACCGTTCCAAATTTACGACTCCAAGTCAAAGTTTATAATATTGCAAGTTACTAGAAACGCATGTATGAAGTCTAATAATAAACTGTGTGTTCATACCATGAAGTGAAGCATTGTAAAAATAGACTCTGCACCGGCGATCTGCATTCCGCTGTTATTGTGGTATTTCACAGTAGTAAAGAGTGTTTGGTCCTGTTCCTACGTTTAGGCTGTCTATCTTTTAAGGCAATTTCGCGATTCTTACTTTCAATTGTTTATCACTATTTATTTCACTATGGACAGTGTATTTATATTGTCGGATATGACTACGTTTTTTAGAATTTTGAATGCCCGTGAAGCCGCTCTTGCATCGCGAAAGAATTGCGTAGAAGAGTGGATGGCTTGGCATGCAAAATTAAGAACTGAAGAAGAGCGTGTTGCACGAATGGAACAAGCAGCCCTTAAACTCGTAACTGCCACATCTAAAGTTTTCTCTCAACAAGGTAAACTTAACGTCATCTACTCTATGTATGAATTACACTTCATTGGCAACAATTATTCGATTTAAGTTTTAATTATGATACAACCTTTAGAGAGAAGTGTTTGTCCCTTTATGGATACAACTGTTTCATCCGATACGAGTGACATTGAAGGGAGGATAGAATTGCTTACTGAAAAATTGGCAAAACGGCGAGTGGAGATGTCATGTTTGAAAAGGGAAGCCAGGAAGCAGACGAAACAAAAACTTAGGGCTTTAGAAGCAAATTTATTAAATCAGATTAAGGTAAGTAACACTGTTACATATGGATAATATTTTCGAGATTTTATTGAAGTTAAATAATTTCTTTTCTGTGTGCAGAAATATGATACGACTATTTATGAAATGCGCAAAAAGCTGGAATCGAAAAAGGGAACAAGTAAAGACGATGATAAATTAGCAATAGAGTCGAAATCATTAGCAGATTTTAAAGTACCTGAGATTCCTCTGAAGAGAATACAAGATATGTTTAAAAATAGTGATTTACTAAGATCTAGATCGGAATCTGATTTGTTGTGTACGAAAAGACCAATGAAGGATCATACGAAAAATATTAATTTACTGAGAAACGAGAGCACTGAAGTTGAATATGATAAAAATAGTTCAGAAAAAGTAACTAAGTATTCTAGAAGTGTAAGATCTTCAGAGCAATTGAGCTCTGGAAAAATAAGCACTGCTGCTCACTGTAGTGTCCAGTCTGTTCTTGACAACAGTATATCAGAACAAATCGAATCTGATAAGCTTGGTTCAGCATCATCGGTCACCTTCGATGATGTTTGTTCTGACAGAAGTATTTCATATGACAGCAAAATGTACATGAATGAAATGCAAAGTAAACGAATTTCCACGGTGGGAAAGAAGAGCAGCATTTCAGAAGATATTGGAACTGACATTAGTACGGCAAAGTCTGAAGATGATATAATTACACAATCGGACGCAAAACTTTCTAAAAATGAAATTACAATAGAATCTGACATAAAAGAATACAAATCATATTTTCATACGATTTCTGAGCATTCTCGAGCAAAATGTATTTCTTCGCAATCTGGTACTGATAAAATGCAAGATTCAGAGAATTCTCTAATTCCCATAGAGAAGTCCGATGTTGAAGGCTCCAAGGTAGAAAACAACAGTGAATGTTCTAATGAAAAATTTAATGTATCTCGAAAGTTAGACTTTTTACGGTTAAATAATAAGAATTTGTACGAGGACATAAATTCTCTTGAAAATGAGCTCAAAATACTTTCGGAAATGATGTCACACTTCCGTAAAAGATCAAATGAAAATTCAAAAAATAACGAAGACACTTCGAAAGATATATCCGATATGCTTTTGAAATCTGAAAAAGACAGTGAAATTCAAGATATGGAATTTATGAAAAATGATGATAACAAAAGTGTAGAAGTGAGTCGAAAAGAAAGTAATCCAGATATTTCACAGTATTTAATTAATGGCACAAAATTGAAATCTGTGAGTACCTTCAACAATGATAAAAATATAGTAGAAGAAGTTGATGATGTAATATCTGTGATAATGCCAAAAACCGATACATCCCTTTTCAAATCTCACCAAGAAACTGATTATAAAGCAAGAAGTAAGGAAATTTTGAATGAAATTGAAAAATCTATAATATCGGAGCATATTAAAACTGATTCAAATCGTTCAAATGTGTTACTTGAGAGCAACAAGTTAAGTACATATGAGGGAAATGAAAAACTGTCGCACAATACTTCTTCCAACAATTATATGAATTCTTTATCTGAAGATTATTTAAGAGCAACGGAAGATAAAGAAAGTATCATTACAGTAGAGAATGCTTCTGAAATAGTACAACGTGACGAAGATGGCATATATACTGTAAATAGTTCTAGTGACTCCCACAACTTAGCAAGGCAGCAATTGCTACAATCAACTCAGAATTTAACATCTCCAAATTGTACAAAACCTTCAGAAAAATCTGTTTTACTTGTAAAGGATAAATTATTAAATTTGTGTGCTGATATCGATCATGATTTACCAAAACATAATGCTATTACAATACAAAGTTATTCAGAACATAGTAGCCATATAATTTCAGAAAGATTTCCACAGAGTGTTATAAAACAAACAACAGTCGTACAATCCGGAATTGAATTGTTGAAGAAACCAACTTCTCCACAATCTGTAAGTTCAACTGAGAAGACTGAAGAAATTGAGGAAGTAATAGATTATACGAAAGACGAAAATCTTCAAAATGTAAGCAATTCATGTTCAATTTTAAAAGCAGATCATTTTGAATTAATAACAGATAAGTGTAAAAATGAAAGTAATTTACTCGTGGCAAATGAAGTTACAGAATGTAATGAAAATCCTCTAAATTCTGTTAAAATAGCTAAAGAAGATATATCTGAAAACACTATTGGTTTTATCCATAAAGAAGTCAGTAAAGATAAAAATCTGATTAAGGCGACGTCTATAGATCAAATTTCCCTTGACAAGGATGATTGGACAATATCTGATTCGTTTGATATTCAGCAAGATGTTAATTCTGAATGGGAAAAATCTTTCAAAAGTCAAAATTCAAAATACCTTAATGATGATTCAAGTGAATTCATAGATGCAAAAGATATATCTCAATCGGTTGATGAAATTCAAAATCTAGATTTTGAAAAGAAAGTAGGAAGTGGCATAGAGGACATATCTCTATTTATTCCAGAAGGTGAATCTACAAATATCGATGCGTATGGGATTAAATTAGATGAAACCATATCAAATTGTCGAATTAATACAATTGATAACAAAATTGATGATATGTTTTATACAATTGTTAAAGACAACGACTTTGAACAAAACCAAGAAGAAACTGTGCATACTATAGAAACTGATGATTTTCAAAACGCTATTTACGATTCCGTTACTAAAATATTAGATAAAGTTGAAAAAAGTATCGATAATAATTCAATAAAAGAAAAAATTGAGAGTAATTCGGACATTAGAGAAAACGAAAATGAAATAAAAGCAACTGTAAGTGAAGAATGTAAATCAGTTTCAAGTACTCCTAACTCAGAAGACGAGTTGCGAAAAAAGGCTAAAGGAGAATTTGATACAGGTAAAGAAACATTTGCTTTGGATACCAATAAGCATAAGATGAAGAAAGATATAGCTTTAATTAAAGATCGTGATGAAGTCGCTATCGATAGTAACATAAGCGAAGAAATTGAAGGTAATGAAAATGCATGCCACATTGGAACTAAGTCTCAAGAAGTTGTAATAACAGAACTGGAATCTGGAAGCATAGAAGATGACATTTTATCAGATCTTGAAATTGATGCAAAAATAGAATTTGTTGAAGAGGAACATGTAGAAACAAATGGATCCGAAGATAATGCAGCAACGCAAGTAATGCAAAAAAGAAAATCATTCGAACTTACTGTAGAGCAAGAAAGTTCTGATGGTGAACAACTTGATAATTTAGTTGAAGTAACTGAAAGTGGATTGGCTACTATAGAGAAGCAAATGTCTATTTCTGGAGCAGCTGATATATCACATGATACAATAAATTCTCAAATTATTGAAGTTCCAGAAAGTAAAATAGAAAATCAGACGCATAGAGATAGTTCTAAAGCTGTAGATAATCTGAAAAAAGCAGAAAAACCTATGAAAATAGAAACCAGTTCGTCTACTGACGTAATAAATAAGACATTCAATATTCTGAAAGACCCGGAGTATGAAGATATCTCAGAAGAAAGCCTTGAAGTTTCTGAAATCTTTGATAAAAGTGAACTTCAGAAATCTGTTTCTGTGCAAAAGTCATTTCCCATTCCAGAAAGGTATGAAGCAGTACAAAAATCAGAGGAGGTATTGAGAATCCTCGATGAAATCACTAAACAATCTTCTCCAAGCTCTGATCATAACAAAGAACAATCTGAGAGCGATAAGCAAGTATCTGAAAATTCTGAAAAATCACAAGCAAATATTTCTAGGAAAGATCACACTGTACCTTCAAACATTGATGATCAAATTGAATATGATACCAATAAGCAAACCGAGCAATTATTTGGAAATAGTTTAGAAAGTCAAACATCCATAACAGTAGTAACAGAAGATGAAAATCAACTAATAGAGTTAATAGTCAGCTCAAATGAAATAGAAGAAAAAGAAATGCAAGAACAGGATGCATCATCCGAGTCAAGTGAAGATAAGGACACACCAAAAGGTGTATCAGAAATTGAAATGGATTCTCCCAGAGATCCAAATGATTCAAGGTTAAACATTGATACATTAAATGATGACTTATTGAATAACGTTAATACTAATAAAAGCGAAAATGCTGATTCTAAGAATATGTATCATGCTACACCTATTGTTACTACATCTGAAAAGGATATAGAAGTCATGATAGACAAGTTAAAAGGTACATCAATCATTTATGTACAATATTAACTTTTATTTTTTACAAAATTTAAATTGAACAGTATGTAGCTTTGGTATAGTTCAACTTCGAATTTGATTCACAGGCATTTTTAGATATCTACTCTTACAATTTAATAGATGATTACTTTACATTTTGTAAATATTCCTTCAATTTTGAAAAATCTTTTTGCTTAATGTGTATGTGTAAATTTATAATTATTAAAACGTTGATTTTTAAATAATGTTATTGATGAATGTGTTGAGAAATAGATATTTGAAAACATAAATATATCAAAAGCGATTGTTTAAATTACAATTTAGATGAAATGAATGTTTCTCAAAATAATAATTACATTATATGTACATACAGCGTGTTCGCGATAATTTGTACCATCGTTTTTTTCGTAAACGGTAAACATTAGAAAAAAACCGAAGAGAAGGCAGTTGTAGTATATTTTACTAGTAATATGATAGCGTATCTGAAGTTTTTGTATTTTTAATATTTTTCTAGAAACAAAGGTAACCTTAATTTTTTTTTAACGGAATGCTACATATTTTTTACATCATATAAAAGCGGGCATTAAGACGAGTTGTTTCTAGAAAAATATTAAAAATACAAAATCTTTAAATACGCTATCATATTACTAGTAAAATATACTACAACTGCCTCCTCTTCGGTTTTTTTCTAATGGTTACCGTTTACGAAAAAAACGATGGTACAATTTATCACGAACACCCTGTATACATGACAAACAATACAGAGATATGTTCTGATTTTTATAATGGCTGTGTATTCTTGCGCAAAGCATTGCCTCGTATAGCCAAGTATTGTTTATTTTCAGAAAAGCAAAATCGAGATAATAATTACTTAAAGGTAATACAACACGAAACTTTGAATGAAATGAACATTGACTTGTTTTCCTGTACAAATCAGTGTTGCATGAGTGCTTGACCTATGATTATTAAGTTTTATATGCACAGAGAAAGCCTGTAAATATTGTGCAACACAAACACATGTGTAAAATATTGTATATTTTGTTTCTTCCAAGTTTTTGGAAAAAAGAAATTTTCATTGTGTACAAATTTTACTTGGAATGTCGAATTTTATCACAGCTTTATAATATTTTATTAATGCATTGAAAGAATGTTTTTTATTTATACTTCAACTTTTTATGTTAATCCTCGAAGGCACCTAATCAAAATAATCTGTGAAATTATAGTGTAATGTAAAGATTCGTGTTGCTTTTCCTGGATAATGTATTTGTAAAATTGTCTATAGATTTACATTATTTTGTAACTTCGTTTATATAGCATCATTGGAACAGCCCGGTCTGGAAGTTGCAGAATTGGAAGCGAAACTACTTCGAATTGAACAGCTACAAATTGAATTAGAGGTGAAATTTAATTTTTGTAATCGTTTACTCTATTAGGATAAATAACATTTTATGATAACTACATTCTTCATTATCAGATTAAGAAGTTGGAAGCAGAGGAAGTATCTTACTATGTTAGAGAAATACCTAACAAACCACCACCTCCTTACACTCCTCCCGGTGGTGGCACAAGAATTTCTGCGTCACTCGTGTCACCTTCACCTCCACCAGCTGTGATTCCCTCAAACATAGAAGAACTTACAGCGTTCACTGAAAAAGCATCAGCATTAATATTCAGAGCAAAAGAGGCGGGAGAAGATATTATGGGTTTAGAAGCTCCTACGGAGATCTATGAGTTAACCAAAGAGAACGATGAGACTGTAAAGAAGGATAGAAGAATTTACAATACATTTCTCTTCGATCTATGCAAAGAAACAATCGCTGAGGTCTATCAAGCTGAATATGAAAAACCGGGTCCCAGCTGGACAAAACCAAATGTAAAGACGAAACCTACCATGAAAATCCCAAAAACTATAGACGAACTTAACGAGTACGTTAACAAAGAAGTAGCTACATTATTCGGTTTCAAAACGAAATTGCAACGAGAAAATATGGTAATGCGTTGGAGTCGAAAACGAAGAGATAGAGTCGACGAATTGTTGGCTAGAGAAGCTCAAGCTGAAGAAGATGAATGGACTAAATTTCATCACGATGAACTTGCGGTAAAAAATGGTCTTACAGTAGCTATATTGGATACTCTGATAATGGAAACTGTGAATATAGTGAAAGTGGCATATGCGAAGAAAAGAAAAGTGGTTTAGTTTATTTTTTAAAATAATCTTAACTAGATACTGATACATAAATTATATTATATCACAAGACAATTGGAAACATATACTTTATTTGAAAATTCTATAAACTGGCCTCAACTGCCATATTTTTAAGAACTTTACCAAACGATTCATTCTTACCTATTTGTGTCTTGTAAGATCTATAGGCTGGTTCCTATTTATTTCGGCGGTAAATTGTTTGTTCTTAACTAAGGAAAGTATGAATGATTAATTAATTTTAATAGAATTCAAGAGGTGTACGCGGTCCATTCTTCGAAATGTAGAAAATATTTATAATCAGTAGTCACGATACGTGTGTATAATTCAATAATCAAACGCCCTAACGTTATTTATAATACGTCTTAAAGCTAACATTATAATTAAGACATACAGTGTAGGAACATTACAAGTTATATATATATATATATATATATATATATATGCATATATGTGGTAAAATAGCATACTTGATACAAGAATCCCGTTGATATTTACTGAAAAGAGATATGTAGTTATTGGTTCAATAATTCCGAGCATTTTGTTCGGGTATTGTATAAAATACGTTCGATCATGTAAATAACTTCTAAAGTATTGAATCAAAATTATCAACGTATTCTTTTAATCATACCGACAGAAAAAAACTTAATATATTCATAGATTTGAAAATGTTTTTATTTTCAAAATATAGTTACATACGTTATTATTGTTTTCTAATATTTTTTATTGAACTTCATGTTTGAAAACTCTTGACATTTTTGTCTGAGAAATTTTGAACTGATACTATTACTCTTATAATTTCTCAGTGCTTATAGTTGTTTACATTCCGCTATTTTTTAAAATTGACTTTCAGCCGCCTGCAGTTCAAAAAGAATGTTTGGTGTAATTTTACTAGTGTAATAAGTTGCATGCATTAGTTAAATATCACCAAACATTTTGATATGAATATTCTTTATGTGATTCTTTATACATTCTATTAATTATTTTTACCATTTAAGTTTATTTGTGTATCGATGTTTATGTAATTAGTAATTGTCATCTGAAATTTAAATAACATTTTAACAAGATTATACAATGTTATTCGGACAAAATGCTCTTTGGATAATGGTGTATAATTATAATAGTTACGTTTTAGAAGTCGTCGGCTGTGGAACGTAATTAATATGTTCGTATTATAACGACAGATTTTGGTTATTCGATGTTGCTTCCTTTGTCATATCCACATCTTTGGTGTAGTAAGCAGCTTTGAGTGGTCAAAGGGTGGGCTTCATAGTCGCTGCTTATTCTTAAGCAAATGCTTAAGTCCCCAGTTATAAATGTCTAGTCCATACGTATACACGTATATATTCATAACTCGGGACTTAAGCATTTGCTTAAGAATAAGTAGTGAATATGAATCCCGACCAAAGTCTTTTTACTCAACTACAGACGTTGTCGGACTTCACGCATTTATGCTCAACTATTTTTAATAAAATTGACAAAATTTTAATCAAAAGACTGATATCTTAGGGCCATTTCGATCCAAATTGCAAACATTGTAAGAAAAACTGTAAGTCGCGATAGCCAGCAGTAAAAGTCGGTTATAAATCGGTGTTGAGAAAGCTCTCAATATTGGACTGTCCGCAACAAAGAGTATTTAATCGTATTTAATTATGACCCTTTTATCATTTAAAAATGGATATACTAATACAAAAACATTAGACTTGTATTATCAACCAGTAAGCGTTAACGAACTGATAATTAGTTATGTATATTTTAACTTGTTTTGGTCGGGGATGTACTGACCAGTTCTGTTGAACTTTACGTTTGTGGTTGTGATGTCGAATTAAATGGACTAAATAACATGTTAATTGTATGAAAGTGCAGGAAAGATGAAATAAGTGTATCTTAGCTTTAAAGATATACACATGAACGAGATTTCTTACGACTATTGAAAGTGTTGTGAGTACTCGTTTCTCTAACGTATGACCTTTGAATTTTTGTGTGATTTAGAAATGTACATACAATAACGCTCAAACTTTAGTGTGCATACGCTTTCTCATTGCAAAAAGTTTGACTGATTCGTAAATCAGTAAAGAATATCCGTAACGAATTGAGTCTTTCGTTTGTTACGAAAAAAACATGACTTTCAGGTCATTTTCGTTGTTGTTCGGATCCCTCTTTCTTTAGCGATCAGCTCGTAAGGACTGATTGTATTTGTAGTTGTTATACATAGGTATTGTTCACGTATGTAGAGTTGAATATGTACTTAACTAAGGTATATTTTATAATAAATTTTGAAGAAAATTTATAGTCTCCTTTTATATTAGTGTAGTGAAATTCTATTATATAAAGTATTGGAACGAAAAAAAGTTGATAAAAGACAGTAAAACCACAATAAGTGTGAAATCTTTCATGTCATATTTACTTTATTTATTTTTTTATATGGCGTTTCAAAAGAATACAGGGTGTTCGACTACTATTGGGAAAAAATTTAAGGGATGATTCTTTGAGGCAAAATAAGACGAAAATCAAGAATAACGAAATTGCGACAAATGTTTCCTTTGTCAGCTATAAGCGTTTAAAAATTCACCCAAATGATGGCAATCCGCACGCACGGAGTGTCAGCGGATCATAATTCGTAAGGGGCATACAGTCACTTTAAGGACACAACGACGTGCAGGAAAAGTAGATAGAACAGCTGTCTACTTACCCCGTAGAAAATGTCGATAACTTGTGACCGCGGTATTTGAGTCGAATCCACTTGTATTGCATTAACTCTGATTACTCGATAAAATTCGCAAGAAATGTAAATATCTTCTTACGAATATTATCGAGTAGAGAGGGTTAATGCCCCCTCTAGTTGTCACGTGCAACAATTGTCCTGACCACGAGTATCCATGAAATTAATCCGCACATGCACGTACACCACACAAAGTCCACGAAAAGTGTCTACACACACTGCACGATTGTCCCGTCCGCGAAAAATGTTCACACACACGGCACGATTGTCTCATCCGCGAAAAATGTTCAGACTGCGCGATTAAGTAGACCCGCGACCGGTTCCTTCGTTGCGTTTAACACTCTTCACGTTACATAAAACTAACACTCAAAATAATTAATTTATAACTATTTAACAGTAATTTTTAACCTACACTAATTAATTTATAACAACTATTTACACTAATTTTTAACCTACAATAATTAATTTGCACTATTTATAACAACGACGTACGCGACACTAGTAAATAATCAGTACGTAATCGCTAAATAAACTAAAACTTAGGTTTCCGAACATGAACTCTATTTGCTCGAAGAATGCAAAGGGCACCGTTCGGAAAGAACAACTGATATTGTTGAACTGATCCTCCCTCGCTAGGATCGATGGGGCGTAATAGGTCGATCTCCACTCTTTCATGGTCAATACTTTTTGGGAAGGAAAAGCTGCATGGGAAAGTAGAGGTCCCGTTTCTCTTCGCATATTCTTAGAGCAACATCTGTATTTTTTTCATACACTACTCGGGCACACTTGGCCACGATGCCGGGAGTGTGCGAGTCTGGATCACTCACGGATTGCCTGCAACGTGTTGCTGCCATCGCCGAAGACCTTGCCTATTGTGTTTTCGGCTGTCCCTCTTGACATTAACTTGTAAAAAGAACTTTCAACGCCGAATGCTAACTCTATGTTAGAAACGGTTCATATTACACAGAATGTGTATGTGTTTAACAATTTTCTTTATTTTATTTTATGTAGTTTCTTCGTGCATCCTAATGCAGGTGCGGCAAATGGTAGAAATTGGCTAATTTTGGATCTGGTTTGCAACGAAAGTTTTTTACAGGATATGTTTCTGCAGGTCCTAAGGAATCAAAAATGTATAATTATTTACCCTGGAGTCGATGGGAAAGTTATAAAAAGTAAGAGCAAAGTTGGGAATGTTGTCGTTACTAAAACTCACCTGATTAGTCGTCGTTGTCTTCTTCGGATGATAATCCATTAGCAAAGTAATTGTTTAAGAAATCAGCTGGTGAATTCATCGTAGGTTGGCAGCGAGTATATTCAAAAAACCATAAAATTGTTGTTATGTGGGAACAACAATCGACAATCCCTTCACCATCTTCATGTTCACAATAACACACAATGTTTAAATGTAATATTTGCCAAAAAAGTAATAACAATATTAAAATACACCATTTGAGTTCTAGAATATTTAAAAATGTTTAATGTTTCATTGTTGTGTTCAGTGCCTTTCATGTTAGTGCCTCGGAGTCTAGCGTTTATTATCATAAGACAGCATTCGTTCGTTCGTTTTCCTTACCGAGAAGTATCTGTTTATAAAAGAAGGTAATATGATACGTTTCGATTAGGGCGATGATAGACAAAGTAAGATTTTCTTGAATAACGTCGCCATTCCATATGAAGAATCAGTTCTTGACAAAGCTTCAGTGAGTGCGGATGTTATACGTGTGCTTTTTATACGAGTGATTTTTTATATTTTTAAAACTAGTAGTGGCATTTTTTTCGTAGAAAGATTCACAAAAATGCCACTACTTGTTTTAAAGATATTATCCTTTCGAGCGGAGCTTTGAACGAAAGCAATTAACGCATGCACTCGTCTAAAACCATCGTTCAGCACCCCGCGACGGAGGACAATATCATCATAAACCGCGACCCCTGCCGGAGTTTCCAAACGAGCGCCGCAGTCAGTTTTCGAAATTAGGCGTTTTATTAGGTCGAACAGGACGGAACGATCTGACATGCTTGACGCTAATTGCTCCTCGCTCGACGCTTCGCTAGAAAGGACAATACCCTTTTTTCTGGTTTTGGATTGTTCGTATTGTAATCTGGAGTCAACCGTAACACAGCGGTCGAAGAGACCGAGACGGCTGTCGGTATGTGTGCGTATATGATGGGTAAACGAAGTGCGAAGATGTGAACGCCGAGAAAATGACAATACCACTGCGAAATGTTTCGAATTTTCAGCGAAAAATTTTCATACGGTTCGTTTACTCCACGT